GGTTAGGGCTGAGGGTTTTTCAGTCCGACCCGACTCAAACCCTTCAACAGAAACCTAAACCTTAAGTCACTTCATTGCTAAACCCTAAACCCTAAACCCTAAACCCTAAACCCTAAACCCTAAACCATCGCCTTCCCAAGACGTGAGTCAAACTCCTGCAGCACTCCATCCTGCAGAAGCTCCTGGTGCCTCCGCACCTCCCTCATGCCAAGGACCACCTCGAGCCGTGCGGTGTACCTGGATTAGGGTTTAGGGTTTAGGGTTAGGGTTTAGGGTCTGGTTCCCTGTTTGGGGGCTGTATTATAAAAATGATCATTTTAAAATTCTTCTTGGGTTTTCTTAGAACTAAAATGTAAAATTCTATCCAACAAGGACCCTAAATCCTAAACCCTAAACCCTAAACCAACAAGGACCCAGGTACCCCTAAACCCTAAACCCTAAACCCTAAACCAACAAGGACCCAGGTACATCGGGTACTGCATGGTTAAAGGGTTCGTCTCGACATCCTGCAGCTGCAAGGACTTGGAGTACTCAGCCAGGGCCGTGCTTGCCCTGGTGCAGCCGCAGGCCATGGGCATAATGGGTTTAGGGTTTGGGGTTTAGGGTTGAGGGTTTAGGGGTTGACCACAGAACCCCCCTGGGCTTCTGGGCGGCTGCCTGTGCTGCTCGTGCCGACATTGCTGCAACAAAGATCACGGACGAAGGCTTAGCACGACACCTGTCGGAATCACACCCGTCACCTTCCACCCGTGTGCTAGAAAAGGAGATGTCGCACACAATGCCAACGAAGACATTGTTCCCGTGCTGATACGTGTCTCATGACTCGACAAGAACTGTTGCACAAGAAAAACCAACAGCAGCAGAAGCAGCCGCTGCAGCTGCATCAATTGTACTTTAGTTGCTGCAGTTGTACATGTCGTCGTCGGTCCTAGTGGCAGGTGGCAGGTCGTGGGGTACGTGGAAGGCGGTAGGCGGCAGGCGTAGATGCTAGTGGCAGTCGGTAGTGCGTAGTCGTAATGGTATGGGTCATGGTAGTGGTAGTGGGAGGATAAGAAGAAAAAGTAGTAGTAGTAGTAGTAGTAGTAGTAGTAGTAGGAGTAGTAGGAGTAGGAGTAGCAGCAGCAGCAGCAGCAGCAGCAGCAGCAGCAGCAGCAGCAGCACTAGTAGTAGGAGTAGGAGCAGCAGTAGTAGTGGTAGTAGTAGTTGTTGTTGTTGTTGTTGTTGTTGTTGTTGTCGTTGTTGTCGTTGTTGTCGTTGTTGTTGTTGTTGTTGTTGCTGTTGTTGTTGTTGTTGTTGTTGCTGCTGGTGTTGTTGTTGTT